ATGTTGTTTTAATTTATGTTTGCATAGTATGAGATAGGGTCCGGATCTCTGGGTCCGGACTAGTTTGGTTGTTTTTTTTGTGTTAAATTAATGTTGGAATGGTTAATCTATTGTTCTTGCCTTATTTAGTTAATTATTCTCGAAAGATTTAATTAGCTATTTATTGAGAAAATATTTTATGCCAAAAGGCTATGATATTCAAGTACAACGGATTAAGTACAAATCTAGAAATGGATGAGTAGTAATAGAAATATTATTATTCCAATTGTTAATTTAATATGATAAAATAGATCCGAATGATGTCCAGACCCTAGGTCCAGATCTATGCTTATACTATGTAAACTTAATTTATTATTTTTACTCCACTCCCTTTTTACAATCGCTCCGAGAAGACTTTCATAAACCAATCCTAACCTTCGCCTAGTTAGAGTAATTAAACTGATTCCCTTCGTCCACTCCTCGAGAGACACGACACTCGGAGAGAAAACTAACCCTTTATTGGGAAGGTTTACTACCCGAAAAACTACAACTGTCAAATACTCACATAGAGATGGGATCAGAAACAAGGAAACATTGATTTTTCCAAATTTTACGAAGGATTTGAGTGACGAAATAACCTCAAGTACCCAAACGGAGATGTTTTAGGGATAGGAAACGACACTCATTGAAGCATCCATGCTACTTAGCATCTTTGTAGTTTGTACTTCAAAGATGAATTCCCATTATGGCCATTTGAATCTCAACCAACGATTAGCTTTTTGAAGTGTACACCAAAATCCCAACCAACACATTACATTCCTCCTAAAACTTCTTTTAGACATCGTCGCCTAGGCTTACTTGAGGAGCATAAACACTCACCATGTTTCTTATATCATATGCTTGAATTGAGGGGTATGAAACCACCTTAGAAGCAAACCTCAAGTTAGTAATACGTTTCACTCTAGAGTTTGAATTTAGGATCCTAAATTTAGCATCCAACATGGGTGAATCTAGTGCCCCATGGACTGTATATATCAAGTTAATTGTATCCGGTATGTGTATCAAATAGAAAGAACAATCTAGGTTCAAGTTTAAACGTTTTCTTTGGCTTCTCATGAAATTTCTTTCTGCTCAACTTGCGGGTGATATTATTATCCGGTTGCCAGATGTATTCGACAAAATATAAGAAATAACTACACAAGTACATAAAAAAGAGAGTGGAGACTATCTTATTTGAAAAACACGAATTACACAAGCAAATTTCTAAAATTGTTCCAACAACTTATATGCTTCAATCCTCATTATACGCTAGTGTGTTGGTTTGTCATCATCATTATCAGCCCCGTAATCCCAACTAGTTAGGGTTGGTGGCATTACATTGTATAGTGCCAATTAATTGTTAAAGTTAAGTGACAAAATTCATGCAATGAAAATAGTGACAAGTCTCATACCCACAAGGTCTTACCTAATTGTTTCTATCCAAGTTAATGAAAATATTCATCTAGCCCTTTATGATGTATTCATATACCTTCACATATCTAATACATGCAACTACTAAATGTCACCAAAGCATCTAGTTTTGATTGGGAAGAATCACACGAGAGGGCCTTTTTTAAGGCAATAGACGAGGGTAGAGGCAGGCGGTTAAATGGCGAACATGGGGTGTGTGTGTGTAAGGACATTCTCAGTATTTTCTTATCTAGGATTTGGGCTTTAGTACAGGTACAGTCTTCACTTTTTATCTATAAAATATTCTTGTGCACAAACACACCCACACACAACCCGCAAACCCCTTGTAGCCGAGGCACATTAACCTCAATGATCACTAAACTCATTCAAATCCTACATTTTTAAAGCCCAAATGAACTCCCTTTAGAAAACCCTTAAAACTCATTTCCCCTTGTTTTTCTGACCTGGGTGTGCAGCCTATAAGCTCCCAAGTTGGTCTCTCATCCACTTGACCAAGGAGGCTTGCTTGTGTAATGTGTGTTTGTGTAGTCACACACAAATAGCATATACAAAATATAGTTATATATTGCAACAGACAATATGTGTTGCATATCTAAAATCTTACTACATAACTGTCAAAGTTATCCTAAATTTGGACAACTGCTTCCTCTCTTTTTTACTTCATACATAATTTTGTTCTTCTTTGTTTTGCTACACATCAGTTTAAACATTCTTATCATTGTCATAAACTTTTTGTGGATGTGCTTGAGCGGTACATTTTATGGTAAAAATAATCATTGTGCATTCAGAACCTTATCATTTCTTTAATGGGTTTCTTTAATCACGTGGAACAATCGACCTAGTGAGACATTATTCGTGAACAAATGTAAGTCTTGGAATAGCTTTTTAGGTCCTCGTACGTCAGGTTCCCGTATCAGAGATCGTAGTAATGAAAGAACATTGTTGAGGAGCCCATAGGTAGGAAAACCAGGTTTCCTCTTGAGGTAGACATAGTTCCGGGATATTGCACATATGAATTATAGTCCCAACAAAACATTACTAAGCACTCTGTGTCTATCTATTTCTAAACATGCTTGAAGCATGATGGCAAGATAAAGAGGTAAGATAAAGAAGAAAATAAGATTGGACTACTCTTAAAATTTGGCAATCAAATCCAACAACCTGGAATTTTACATTATATGATTACCTTTTCAACAGGACAAGATGCAAAGACAATTTAGAGAGTTAAAAACATTAGCAAATTAAATCACAATGATGTTTTGTCTCATTTTAGTAAACAATCACCAGTTCACCACAACATATTAATCTTTGGAATATAGGCAAAGAAAAATTTCCCTTAATTATAATAATAATAATAATGTGTGAATGAGATAGAGGTTCAGCGAGCAATATAAAAGTTAACCAAACCCTAGAGTTATTACACCAATTCTACTAATCTACTAATGTTGAATATCTCTACTCATTACAAGCCCTCCCCCCACCTCCCAAACCACCACAACTACACACCTACCCCCATAGACAAAAACTATCAAAAATTACGTAAGTAATAACATGTTACTCTAAGGTGGCATAATACACGTTGCGTTCAAGCCTTCATTGTGAAGGCATTTGCAAATGCAAAATCCAAGATATTCTATTTATTTGTTTATTTATTGACAATCTGGGGTAGCAAGCTACCCTTCTCAGTAAATACTCCAACCGTCCCCAAAAGAACCTCCCACTTTCCTTTTTTGATTCGTCCCAAAATAAACTTCCCGTTTTTTTCTTTCCATGAAAAGAAAGGATTAAGGCCCCGTTCTCTTCAGCTTATTTTTTCTACTTATTACTTATTCATATTGAAATCAGATCAGAACAGAACATCTTTAAATTACACTACAATCATATTATATCAGACCAGATCAAACTTACAACATTTCTCTCCCCTCTAAACAAATTATATACACACTATTCGATTTTTAACAACTTTTTTAAACTTTGTGAAATCAAGTAGTGAATTTCTTTTGGGAATGGAGGGAGTAAAACATTGAAGTGTCGAGCTGAAACTATTTATGTATTTAGTTTTTTAGTTTGTTAAAGTTCACCTTGCTTCTTTTAAAGCTACTACTAATTAGAAGTAGTGTCTATTTTTGGAGAATACAAAAAAGAAACGTATAGTTCAAATCCCAAAACAATATGTAAGCATCAAAATGGACAATAAGAGTAAATTCCAATACAAACCTTATTCCTGTACCCAAATTGTATATCACACGGAACAATTGGTTGCATCACATGGGCAAATTCCATATTTTTATCTGAGAACTTGCCTACATGCACAACGAGATCCCGAACTTGTTGCTCTTTTGCATTGATCTGAGCTTTGTATGATAAACTCTGTGATTTGCAACCTCCACAATGTGAAGCATATTCACACGGTGCCTCGACAAGGTCCCAATGAGGTGATATGGTCTTCATTTTTTTAACCTATCATCCTTGCGACCAACATAACAACATTAATTATCTCAACCTCCTAAACCTAAATATGATAGGACAAATTTAAAGGCACTAAGAGCCAAAAAATGCCATACAACTGGTTGTGCAGTATTTCTCATACATCCACAGCGAATACTCATTTACGGGTAACAGAATACTCATTTTGCATATTTTGTTAAGTTAGTTGTACGTGTATCTTTATTTTAGTTGAAATGAGTATTGTGTTACTCATAAATATAGGTTTTATATAAACGTAATGGGCATTATATAGCTATCAAATGAGCATACATATATTTTCGTATTACATGCTTTGAATAAATACTAAAATAAACATGTGAAATGAGTATTTTGTTACTTGTAAATGATTATTCACATTCTAATTATGTTGTTTCAAAACCAATTCTTTCTAGTCTAGATTAAATTGTACCAATAAAGAGAAAAATGAATGGGAAAAAATCAGAGTTTTGCGAAAAGGACAATCACAAACCTCGGTGTAATTGTCTTTTTTGCGAGTGACGCGACCGAGGAAGCGTTCACCAGGGAAGGCACGATCGCACATAACCACAAAGCCAGTATCAGCGACCTTACAAACGCCTTTCCCTTTAAAAGCTATAGAATCACAAACCAGCTCCAAGGTCTGCCCTCGCTTAGGAAAAAATCGATTTTTCTCTTTTTGTTTATCAATGTTAGAGGTAGTTGTAGCGCTAGGGTTTTCCATTGCCGTGTTCAATGCTAGAGCGTCTCCGGTACCATCGAGTGAGGGGAGAGAATTGACTATTGAAATAGAACGGGGAGAAGAAGGAACTGATCTTCTGGCGGTCGTTGTGCAACGGAGGGTTTGTAGACATGGCCGTAAAGGTAAACGGCTGAGGCCAAAGCTAGGCATGGCCATTGCAGAGGAATGAAGCAGCGGGGGTGAACTCAGCAATTGGTGGCGGATCAAAAAATTAGGAAAAAGACTACATATATTCAGGGAGAAGTATATGCTACAACCATACCTAGAAATAGATACATCTGGGTAGTACTCATTTTGAAGCAGAGTAGTACTCATTTTCACACAAACATAACTATTTATTTAGAATTAACGTACTCATTCTAAAATAACGTAGTACTCATTCTGAAATAATGTAGTACTCGTTTTTACACATTTAATCATTACAATTATAATATTTATCCACAAATAACGTAATATTCATTCTAAATTAAAATAGTACTCATTCTCAAATTAAATAATGCGCATTCTCAAATAAAATAAAACTCTGCATAAATAACCTTTCTCTCCGGGCTTCCACCCGACTAGGGTTTTCATCTGAGGCCTCTCCTCCCATCTACCGCCTTTCTCCTTCGTCAACCTCTGTAAAGCAGCGGCAACCTTTGCAGCTCTATCTTCCTTCTCTATTGTTTTCAACGGATTTCTGCCACCATCACTCCTCGTCATCCTCGCTGCTCCACCGTCTTCGTCTTCTTTGTACTCTGTACATTTCAAACACTTTTATTTTTCACAATAATATTAATCATAACAGAATAGTACAGAGTTTTCAATGTTGCGGAAGCTTAACAAATCATAATCACAAAACATAATTAATTTATGTCCTTTAATTCGAAATCATCACCTCCATCCTGACTATCTCACCTCTGTCTGCCGTCAGGATCATATCGCATCATTCTTTCTATTTACCTGCGTGTAACAAATAAAACATACGACACGCTTAGTGTTGGAGCTGAGTAAGTATATCTAATGCATCGAACATCCACATAAACTGAATCTCAATTCATAATCAAATCATTTGATATGATGCACACAATATTCAATTCAAGTATTCATTATTCATGATTTTGATAATGTTTAGTTCATGTCAGATTATATGTCATTCAGTTCAGATATTCAACATTCATTATTTTGACAATGCTCTTAAATTATTCTTAATCTAAGACCAATTGGTAACAATGCTCTTAAACTACTCTTAGTCTAAAGCCAGATCATAACAACGCTCTTAAACTATTCTTAGTTTAAGGATATTTAATATTGTTAACCAAACTCTTAAATTATGGTTAGTTTAAGGCTATTTTAGTTAAATAACCAGACTCTTAAGTTGTAATTAGGTTAAGACAATTAATAACCAGACTCTTAGACTACAATTAGTTTAAGGAATCAACGACGTTGCATTATGCATTATTCATCAAATCATGGTTCATTTATTATAATTATAATTTAATCAGAATATTCATCAAGGTGTGATCATAATCAATATTCATTAATAGTCATCATAATATTCACTAACAAATAGCGTCGAGTGTTAACACCCTAGCTTACCGCCATGCATCAAACAAGGTTCTTGAATTTGTCAAAACATAGGAGGTCTACCGTTGTCACGGTATAGCCTACTGTGTCGTTGGTACCTAGGTACCGTCCGGTCAGTAGCATGATACCGTTCTGCGCGTAGTTTAAACAGTGTCATCTTCAACCTCGGGCCAATTTTTGGATAATTCATTTTTAATCACCAAACTTCATTTAAACTATATATACATGTTCTTCAAAGTTCATAAATCATTTTAGCATCATTAGTTCGTATTTTAACAACAATTTCAAGGTTTATAATTCTTGGTTCTTCAAACATGTCAAACACAAAACTCAGTCAAACGGCTGTTTATGAACTTAGAAACGATCTATATGAACATTCTATTCATTAGATATATCTAAGGGCTTACCTCGAGCTTAAATGGAGGTTTTGGAAATTTTTCCGGCGAAGATTATGGCTTACTCCAGTCACCTCTCACCAAATTGACAGCACCACTACACTCTTCACACTCCTAGGAACAAAATAGAAGGAATTGGTGAAGAATGGGAAGGATTGTGTTTCCTTTTATAGGGAGAGCTTGGAGAAGGTGACAACCGTCATACTTGATTCACAATCGGCGTAGTGGAGGAGGAGGCGCCGTTTGTACACGCATTTCGTGATTGGGATTAATTTGGTCCAGTCAGAGTACACTTTTTGGTCTAATTTTCTCTAAATAGAAATCTGTTTGCATTGTTGCGATCAGATCGTCAAACTCTATCTAATTATATAATTTTTATATTTATTTGGTTGTTTGACTTTAACAAAGACAAAATTGATTTAATTGACCTTTATTCAAAAAGGTTTTCACATTTAATCCACATCATTTATTCTCATGATTGATTTCAATAAATCATCTCAAAAGTTCACATCATAAATCAAATTCTTTATTGATTTCAAGATCCCACATATAGTCAATATATTGGATTTATCTCTATGAGATTTTATCTAGTTTATGATATTGAATATCAAAACATATTTTATTTTGGCTCTAAGCCCAATAATAAATTATTTTAATCAAAATAAATTTATTCAATTGAACAAGAATTTAATAATAATTTTAGGGTACACTTCGGAGCCTTACAATTAGTTTCTTTCATAAATATATGTGGTTACTTCGTACGCCATGACGATTAACAAGAGTCAGGGGTGACCATGGAAACATGTTAGATTATGGACAACTGTATGTTCGTTGGAGTTTCAAGAGTAACAAATCGTAGTAGGTTGAAGATTTTGATATATTCCCACAAATTGTACGAACAATGTTGCTTATAAAGAAGTGTTTTCGAAATTTATAAAGCAAAAATGTTTTGAACCTTAAAATAATATAATGTCTATATTGTATTAGATATTATCTTCTAGGGTTGAAAAATGATCTTAATTTAGTAACGAAAATATGACTTGTGCAACGCACGGATGTGATGCGGGTTGTTGATCATTCAAGCATCATCCTTAATTTTTCACTTTTTTGTCTATTTCATTATTCGGATGTTTCAGATGTCTCACTAAGAAGGATATTGCCTTCCCTACAAGCTTGAAATTCCAAGTGTTGCGTCTATTGTGTAACGGAGCAAGTACGATACATGATTTTATAACATTTAAATTAAAACAAAAAGTTAAAGGTCGGGCTTGTACGGTGTAAGAAATGGGGAATAGTAGAAGGGCTCAAGAGTCGGGAGGAAGATGAATTTATCAAAATCTGTTATTAAAAAATCGTGAATCGTGATGTGTAGTTTTGTAGGGGCCGCCCCATTTCGTGTTGGATTTTAAGCGCGTAAGACTCTTAAAATATTAAGAACGTGAAAAATAAATAAACTCACTACACAAGAAGAAAATATGAGAGAAAAATTATATCTTCACTATTTCAGAACGATACACAAAAAAAACTCTCCCCTGTTTACAAGCGCTAAATACCAGACACTTATAAAAAGACTTTTCACACCCTACACCTGGATGTATTTTTCTGAGTAACTAAAACCAGTTACTCCCTACACTCACTCACACAATCCTGGTGATATCTTGTGTAGCACCTTTCTCTAAACCCTCCTTCTCTCTCTTAGTGTGTTTTTGCCCACCCACATATTGCCTTACTTTTATAACAAAAAAAAAGCTCCGTATGCTTGCATGGCTTGAGAAGGAGTCAAGAAACCAAAAAATCCTCTTTGATTTGATGACATGCACCAAGTCAATCAAATATCCCACTTTTGATCTTCTTTGTCCTCTTTGTGATTTTTTTTCTTTCTTTTTGATTAATTAATCAAATATCCCAACAAACTCCACCTTGATTAATTAATCAAACCATGGTCCGGCTCCACCTTGCTCGTTCCGGCAAGGTCACAGTCTCCACCAACCTGAGAAGCTTCAAACGTCACCCGCTTCTTCCATGCAAATGCTCCGCTTGTTGCACTTGTAATTTTTCCTTCTGACAGCTTCCGTGCCAAATCTTTTCCTGCAAGTTTATACAAGCCATTTGACAAAACTCCTTTTGCTACTACCATTGCTCCCCTAGAGATTTTTAACACTCCACCTTGAGCAAAAATTCGGCAGCCTTCTGAATCTAAAGCCCCCAAGGAAATCAAATTTCCTTTTAGACCCGGTACATGTTTCACTCCAGTTAATGTTCTCACCACGCCATCAAACATGCGAACTTGCACTGTTCCGACCCCTGCAATTTTGCTCCGTGCACCATTTGCCATCTTCACAACACCCCCATCACAAGTTTGATAGGTATCAAACTTTTCCTTAACTGAACACATATGAAACGAACAACCCGAATCTAATATCCAATCTGATTTATCTAGGCTCTTTGCGGTTGCCAAAAATAAGTCTTCTTTAGTTTCTTGGCTCGAACTTTCTGCAACCGCATTCACGGGTGTTTTCCCGTCCTTCTTTTCCTTCCTCCTCTTTGGACAATCCCTTTTGAAATGACCCTCTTCATCGCAGTAGTAACACTGAAAGCTTTTACTACTCGATTTGAAGCGTTGGGACGCGCCGCCCCTCTCTTTAGACCGTCCTCGTTCCCGACCAGCTCCTTTTGCAACCAAAGCTTGACCATCATTTGATACCCCGTTGCCACCCCGCCGAGTCTCGTTCATCAACAACGCAGCAACTACTTCATCAAATTTTAAGGTCTCTTTTCCAAACAAGAGCGTGGTCACGATGTTGTCAAAAGATGAAGGCAATGAAGCCAATAAAAGCAGCGTCTTGTCCTCCTCTTCAATCTTCACGTCAATGGATTCCAACTCTGTTGTAATCTTGTTGAATTCATCCAAGTGCCCATTAAAGTTAGCTTCCTCCGCCATTTGGAGACCAAACAATCGTTTCTTCAAGTATAGCCTACTTGTCAACGATTTTGACTTGTACCGGCTCTCCAACTTGTCCCAAATATCCACTGGGTCCGTCAAACCGAGAACCTCCCGAAGAGTATTATTTGCAAGACATAGACATATTGTACTTGTTGCCATGTCCTTCAAATCCTCCCACTCTTCATCCGACAATTTTTCTGGTTTGTCGTTCTTCCGGTGTTTGGCCCACTTAGCATCCGTCATTTTTCTGTCCTCTGAACCTTCACCTTCAGAGCTTTGATTGTCCCTTCCCGAGTAAGAACACTTTTTACTCGTTGTTGCCACAGAGTAAAATCGCCACGTCCATCGAAAGGTTCGACAGAAACATTCGAACTTTTTAGCGATGCCATTTTTTAAGTTCTCGACTTTCTTCTCTTACCGCTTAGAAATCCCTCCGCCCCAAATGTAACTTGGCTTTGATACCAATTGTTGGGATTTTAAGCGCGTAAGACTCTTAAAATATTAAGAACGTGAAAAATAAATAAACTCACTACACAAGAAGAAAATATGAGAGAAAAATTATATCTTCACTATTTCAGAACGATACACAAAAAAAACTCTCCCCTGTTTACAAGCGCTAAATACCAGACACTTATAAAAAGACTTTTCACACCCTACACCTGGATGTATTTTTCTGAGTAACTAAAACCAGTTACTCCCTACACTCACTCACACAATCCTGGTAATATCTTGTGTAGCACCTTTCTCTAAACCCTCCTTCTCTCTCTTAGTGTGTTTTTGCCCACCCACATATTGCCTTACTTTTATAACAAAAAAAAAAAGCTCCGTATGCTTGCATGGCTTGAGAAGGAGTCAAGAAACCAAAAAATCCTCTTTGATTTGATGACATGCACCAAGTCAATCAAATATCCCACTTTTGATCTTCTTTGTCCTCTTTGTGATTTTTTTTTCTTTCTTTTTGATTAATTAATCAAATATCCCAACATTTCGGGCAATCCACCCTTGTTCTCAATCACTACTAATAGTGGCTGGGATTGACTCAGCTCAAGAGGGGAACCTTGAATGGATCAACCGATCAAGGAAAGGCATGATATGTTGATAATCTTGGAGGATCATCAACTTTGCAAAAACATACTAAGATGAAGTATTATGCAGATAAAATCCACATGGTTGAATTACGATAAGGCCAAAAATGCTGATCAGTAATGGATACTTGATGTCCATTATTTATAATATGCAGGTAGGCAACAAGAATGTCTTATTCAAAAAAACATTTTTACGTACAAACTCCACTATTCTACGTCAATGTTCTTAAACTGGCGGTGAGCATGAGGCGCGGCAGATCATGTGATCCAAAGTCAGCAGGGACAAGGAATTGAAATCCTTGTATCACAAGATCTCAATTGAACCAAGGATTCTCTGCTTTCAGCACATTGATTGCTTCTTCAATATTTGCTACCAAAGTGTCTGGCAAGTTCATCATTTTCTTTATCATGAGTTTCTTCCTCCCTTCCGATATCAGTGCATTTATCTCTGCAGCATGCCCGCTCTGTCACGAAACAAAATAATGTATATTTTTCATGCAAAGTGAATAGAAGAAATCAGAGAAGGTAGTATAATCACAAAACCTCAAGATCTATCATGAGCTGCAACATTGAAGCTTTTGTTAGCTCTTTGTTGCTGGTCGGTTCTGGTGGAGGTAGTACAACTCGCATTGTTGTTCCATTTGCATTTTTCGCCTTCTGACTCTTTTGGTTTCCCAGCTTTGCAGAATCATTCAAAGGAAGAGCAGACTTTGTAGGCTGCAATGGTAGAGGCAAAGAGGATTTGAGCCAGAGAAAATATGACAGCAATGGCATATAATGGAATTAGAAAAGCAAACCTGAAAACATCCCATGCACAAGTGATACATGAAGAAACAAGATGTACATTAATTACTTTGTACGAGGTGATGAAGTGCTTATTATTGGGCAACTGCTGCGGTCGTTGTTTATCTGGCCCCTGTGATGAAATTCTCAGGTTCAGTATATAAAACATTCGGACCATCAGCCAAAAAAAAGAGTGAAGTGATGATATAATTAGCATACATGAATCAAGTTCTTCCCCCCTTGAAAATTGTACATTCCGACAGGGAAGAAGGTGCCCATCTGTCTGCTAACAGTTTGATATGTTCTGGCAGGACTGAAATCTGGCATTGACATATAATAAGGAGGAGCATAGTAGAGGAACTCTTGGAGTGTAGGCATGACAATTTCTTGGTAAGGAGGGGAAAATGACTGTGGTTTTTGTGGGGCATAGGATGCCCTGGTGCGTTCTTCCTTCGGCCAAGCTAACGCCACATGCAGACACATTCCATCACAAGTTGTTCCTGAATAAAATAAAAATTGGAACTCAAATAATTTGGCATTCTCAGTAGACAAAACACGTTATAATAACATTAGCCTTACCATCAAGGTTATCCGTAGCCCTTTTTGCATCTCCAGGATTTAAAAAGCTCACGAAGCCAAATCCCTTACTGACACCATCATCATGACGCATGATCTTCACAGATAGTAACTTTCCATAAGCAGTGAAAAGTGCTCTTAATTTTCTGTCGTCAATTGATTGACTTAGATTCTTCACATGCAAAGTGGAAGCCTCGGGCTTGTTGTCATCAAGGCTGATTGTGTGGTCATATGCACATCTTGAGATATCATCTCTACCGTCTTTCTTCTGCGCCCTTACAACAAACAGTTGCTTTGATCCTGAGATGTACAAGAAATTGCATTGGATAATGAATGGTTTGATTAGTTACCTGCAACATCAAATTGGAAAATTCAAGGCACAAACAATGTGTCAGTGTGTACCAAGTAATGTGCCATTCATACACTGAACAGCCCTGCTAGCGTCTTCATGGGAGTGAAAATTGACAAAGCCAAAACCTCTTGACTTTCCATTTTCGTCTCTAACAATGATAACGTTTTGGACCTTCCCATGTTTTGAAAATTTCTCCCTTAAGAGATCTTCAGTCAGATCATCATCCAAGTTCTTCACATACAGATTTGTGAATTTGAAGTCTTCACATGGAACCTTCCTCTCTTGCTTGTTGATAAATTTTGAGACATATCTAGGAAATGAAACAAAAAAAATAGTACTCCACTGTTAAGCTGACTACTCAACAAAGACAAAATACAAAATGTATCCCGTTCATACATTCTAATCTACCAGTACATCCAGTTTATACAATTCATCCACGTCTAAGCAAAAGTGAAAGGAAATGAGTATCTCTACTGATTTACAATTGTAAACTGTATACAGAGTTTGAACAATCCTAAAGAACCGACATAATGTAGAAAGAATACAAGTTTTGATAGGAAACGTGAGATCAATAATAGACATTGCAAAAGAGTAGGCAAAATCTAGCAGGAAACTTACAGTTTCTTTCCTTCCAACATTGTTCCATTGAGACAACGAATAGCAAACATGGCTGAATGCTCAGAATCAAACTGAACAAATCCAAAACATTTGGATTTTCCATCTTCAACAACAACTTTGCAAGAGATAATCGTCCCATAGTTGCTAAACATCCTCTCCAGTTGAGCACTGGTTACTGAAGGTGCAAGATTCTTGACGAAAAGGTTGCCAACCCCAGATTTTCTTACCAATGGATCCCTCTGACACCACATGATCCTCATAGGCTTACCCCTCAGGTTAGTGTGGTTCAGGCACGTCATAGCCTTCAAAGCTGTTCGAAACCAAAAAGTTAATTTCAAACAAGCAAATCATGGAGAACGGCTGAACATTCACAGTGTAGAATGTTCAAATTAAGAATCCAACTGTCATGTAAGGTTCACTGGATAAAGAGGTGACTAGAAACGATCCTAGAACCAGAAAGAGATTGTAGATTTCATTATTCAAGGTGAACATACCAGAAGAAACACTAGGGTTTCCTTGAAACATAAAAAATCTCAATCAGACTAGCTCACTAAATAAAACCTCCTGGGAAACGAGAAACCAAATCTCAATAAATTCAACTACAACCACGAAAAAAATCCAAGAACAATTCGAGATAAGGTCAGATTCTGTGATCAAATAAGACGTCCAAGAATGGATTTCGTGGCATGAAAACAGAAGAAATTGGATGAAAATGTGGCATAGAGTCAAGGACAAACTACAGATAACCACTACATTTTCACGAAATAGGAATCGGAATTCGAGTGAAACGAATTCTGGAATAGATCATTACCATCAGAAAAGCAGAGGAAGTTGACATAAGCGTAGCAGAGAGATCTCTTCGTCACAGTATCTCTACAGAGGCGGACTGAATCCAATGTCCCCATCCTAGAAAACGACTCCAACAGGTCCCTCTCGGTGGTCTCAGGGTGGAGATCACCGACGTAGAGTGACGGTCTTCTAAGAACATCTGCCGCCGCCGGCTGTGGTAGTGGTGGAGCCGCTGCCATTTGATTCTCAACTCAAGTGTAAGGAGAATTGAACCCCTGCCAAGACTCACGAGTGAGTTAGAGAGACGAGATGGTAGTTTTAGAGAGAAGATGAACAGGGCCTTCGCTTTTCAGGGTAGAAGAAGAAAAGAAGAGAGAGCGCATGAGAGAATTTGTTAGTGCAGTACTCGCAGAGGCGGTTATAACTGTTCGAGACCGAAGACTCCATGACCGTAGGGATCTAAGTAGGGGCTCGTGTCTCTATCTGACACGTGTAACGTGATTTCCTCCTGCGTTTGTTACGGTATAAAAGCGACGACGTATTTCGTTTTCCATTCGAGATCCATACGACGCCATTTTTTAGCATGGTCAAATACCTTTTGGTACTCATCTGATTTGAACTGGCACTAATATTTTATCTGCTTTTAAAATTTATTTTTAAAATTTCTGTAGTTTCAAAACATTGTATCCACATCTCATCTGATCATTTTCCAGCCATTTTTCGACGAAGAGAAGGTATTGGCACACAATTTTAAATCATAGTGGAACTTGGCCTTATTTTCTTATTTTTCGTTTATTATTTGTGTTTTTCTTTTTTTAAAAAATATTTTCTATCTCTTTTTCCTTTTCCTAGAATTTTTTTTAAATTTCTTTTATTTTTTTAATAATGTTTTAAAAATTTTAGAATTCTTTGTGTTTGAAATAAGAATAAAAAAAATTAACATACTCCTACATTACATCGATCTCAAATTAAACATTTTCATTGTTTGTTACTTAAAATAGTTTTTTGGAAAGTTCAAAAAAACCCAAGAATAAAAAAAATATGGAAAAACGAAATGAAAAAATTAAAATACGCAAAAAAAGTCTTATATAAAAAACAATTTTCGGACACGCCTAAAAAAGTACTTAGAATTAAAATGTCCAAAAAGGATATTCATTTTTATTTTTAAATTATTTTGTTTCTTATTTTATTCCTCATTTTTTGAAGTTTTAAACAAAATTCTACTTTTTTTCGGAAAAAACAAAAAATTGTTAATTTGAGACGTATAGATGCATTATATGTTAACTTTTTCAAACAAAAAAACTTTAAATTTTAAGATCATTATAAAAATAACTTTAAAAACCTTTATTTATAAATGAATCAAATAAAGGAAAAAAATGGAAAAAAATAAGCGAGAAATAAAAAAATCAGTACTAGTACCTCCTATAATTTAGAAAATATGCACCAATGCCCCCCTTCTTTGCTAGAAAAAAAGGCTGGAAAATGATCGGAGGGGCACGAGTGCATGGCTTTGAAGCCACAAGGACTTCAGAAATAAGTTTTGAAAATAGAGGAGATTTGGTGTCTATTTTGCAAATCACGGGGGTACTTGGACTATTTGGCATTTTTAGCATCAACAAGTGAATGTAAGGAGTTCAATCTACCATAATGTTCAATAGAATGAGAAAATATAAATGTATAGATATTAATGACAATGTTAGAGGTATACTAAACTGGGATAACCCATTTATGCATCAAGAATCCACACAAAGCATTCACAGACATTGCATGTTTGTGAAGGTTTGGTATCCAAATAAAATATACTCCGTATTATTTTAGTGTATTGCCTAGATTGTCTCATATTATATTTATAATTGAGTTGCTAGTGGTTAAGAATTTGATTCTCCCCATATATTTTTTGGTAATTGAATATTCTAGAAGCTAATACTCAATAATTTTTGCTAAATTTTCACAAATGGTATACGAACTTTGAACATAATTTAACTTCGACATACGAACTTCAAATTCTGTCACAAAAATTACATGAATTTACAACTTTCTTTCACTAAAAATCCAATAGCAGGATTCCAAGTCACCTGGGCGGCAGTTGGGCCAAACTATAATTTTATAAATTTAAATTTATAATTTTGATCTTATTTCTTTTTTTTCTTTCTTTAATTTACTCATCTTGTATTCTTCTTAAAATCCCCTCCCCGCCCTCAATGCACCCCACCCCCAGCCTTATTTTTTTTCTTTTCTTTTGTTCCAACCTCACCCACTCCACCCCACCCCACCCCGTTCTTTTCTTTTTTCTTCTTTTTTTTGTTCCAACCCCTCCCAGGCTCCCACGCTACCATGTTCTTCTTCTTCTCCTTTTTCTTTCATTTTTTTATTTTTTGTTTAACCCCCCCCCCCCTCCCCC